TGGGGTGGAGCAGCAGGGGGGCCTGACCCCACCAAAGCGCAGACTAGAGGCAACAGCAACGCAGCCACTTCTCTACGTCCTCGCCCGCAACACTGCTGCCGAGGGACCGTCCCTGCTCCAACTGCAGGGCAGCACGACGGGCTGGAAACCACAGCTCCGGAGCAGGGCAGGAGGAGTGAGGAGCGGGGCTCTGGAGCAGGCTGCGGTAAGCTCTGGCCGTCTCCGGATCCCCTCCGTGGCACGCAGACCTGCTCTTCCTTCTGCGGGGAGGGCAGCCCCGGCCGCAGGACGAGTGGCAGCTTCGCAAGGGCCAGCGCTGCCTTTGCCTCCCCTGGCTTTAACCGCAGGAGCGAGGCGACTCTACCCAAGCTGAGCAGTGTCCTCATCTGGAAAGCGGGATGGCATCACCCACCTACCTCACACGAGGGTTGTGAAGCTAAATTAATTAATGTTTGTAAAACACTTTGAGATCCTCGGCTGGGAAGGTGCTGGAGAAGGCAAAATACGGTGATTAGCACCCAGGTACCAGAGCAAGGGGTGTACAAGAAATGCGACTCTTTGCATTCAGTTAGCGGTTCCTGCCACACACAAACACACGCTTGGCGGGGCCAGCGCTGGCCGGCCCGGGCCTGGGCAGGCTGCACACGGTCGGGTACTTACAGACAAGGGGAAAAGCCTCACAGAGCGCACGCACGGAGCTCACCAGACAGCTTTTGTACGTTGCTGCATTATAACTCAGGACCTCTTTCAGAGACAAAGCTAAGGCTTCAGTATGGCTTTAGGAAAGAGAATTAAGTCGCTTCCCCTCGCTACAGAATTTAGCAATCGAGGGTTGTGAAAATCCCCCAAAGGTTCTGACCAATTGGAGAAACCATCTTGACTACGTCTAACTGATTTCTCCTTCTTTACAGCAAATACCATCAAATCTTGCAGAGCTCTGTCCACCGTAGGGAGCGACCAACATCCTTCCTTACAGTGGACAAAAAACGCTCCATGATTGATACTTGCTAACCTTTAAGAAATTCATCACAGTTAATATTTCAAACTTACTTGAAAAAAGCAACCTGGAGATGTTCTGCAGTGGTATCTGCTTGCTGGAGTAGACTTACTCATCAGCAAGTTTTCTACTCCGTCTTTCCCAAGCTCCTCTCTCCCACAGCAAGCCTGCAGAGCAGAGTGCAGCCCCACAGCCCATGCTGTCCTGGGTCAAACCCAGACGGGGTCAGCCCTAGGACACCTGGGACAACTTCTGCACCATCCTTGTTGGGAGACCCCACCATGAATTTGAATTTACCAGACTGTGACTTAAGCCAATGACATCCCATAGGGGTAGAGCATGGGCTTGAGCTCATCTCTGCCCTACCTCTTCCATCCCCTCTTCTACCGCTGTCCTGCTCCAAGTTGCCTCGCTGGAGGGCAGGTCAAGGTGTGGGCAGCGTAACCGACTGCAGAGCCTGCTCCGGAGGGCAGACTCTGGCCCTGAACCCATACAAGAGCGTAGACATTCTCCTGGAGGTCACCAGCCTTTAGTGCCTTGGCCACTTTTCACAGCAGAGACTGGGGAGGAATTTTAGGATCTGTGGGAAGGTTGGGATCTGGTACAGGTCCCTTACACGGCTAGAGTTGGGAAATACATCTTCTGCTGTCCGGTAACTGGTTTGGATTTTCGACTGACCCAAAGGACCACATTCAAGGTAAACAGTCCTTGTGCCACCAAGATTACTACCTCATGTTTGACAACGCAAACGAGCTGTGAATCTAAAGCTGCTGCTAGGGGACCCACGGCCATTGTTTCTAGCTTTGGAAGACCTTAACACCACACTGCTTTAATGACATGGCCCAATGGCTTTCGCATCCCGTGGCTGCGGAGTAGCCATCGGCCTTGCGACGCATCCAGGCTGCCGTGCTGAGCTGGGCTGAGCTCGTCACCGTCTCTAAACCAATTGGTGGAGGGTCAACTGATCTATTTTAATGATGATGCAGAAATGGTAAGAAATCTCCTGGATCAGCAAAATATTACGCACTTGGAAGGCTGAACAAGTAGAGAAAGGACAGTCTGGCTGAAGTCCACTGACACGGATGGAGTTACACTGCAAAGAATGCAATCCACCGTCTGTCTTCTCCACAAGAGAAAAAGGCAGACTCCCCTGGCCAGATCACTAGCAAACCCCACTCCGTTCTTTCCCAAAACAGCCTTTTCGGTCCGAACTCCTGCAAAGTGTCCGTCCTTGCTTGGAACGTACCCGTGCACACACGGCCGCTGCCCTCGGTAAAGAAGCGCAGACCCAATATTCTCCAAGCTGTTTGCGCGGCCCTGCTCGAGGACCAGGCTGTTGGCATCAACATCTAAGCTGGACGAACGTCAAAAGCTCCTGGCTGGTTCTACTTGAATAAGCAGCCAAAGGTTTGCATATTTATCATATTTATCGAATGGCCTCCACGGCTTGAATGCTCAAGCCCACGGATCTCAACGGCATGCATAATTCCCAGGTGTTTGGGGGCATGCAAAGAAGGACACTGGTGCTCTGGCAAGTCAGGCGGGTGATGCTGTAAGAACACATTTTGTTGTGAAACTGTGATACAGCGAAAACAGCTCGAAGTGCCCCAAGGGTGGCTTTCTTTTTTTGGACATACCCACATTCTTGAGAAGGTGGAACACGGGGGTGGGGGTGAGATCCACCTAATCTGCGCATCTTCAGATCCTCAGATAGAGCAATTCTGGGGAACGTTATGACAGGTTGGGGTTTTTCTGTTCTGCTCTGAGGTGCTTTGCTCCCTCATCAGAACTTGGGGTCATTGGGCAAATTCGTCTCTTGAGGGATGTATTTTTTTCCTATGCAAAGCCGTAACTCCACTGCAATTCAGCAGAAAGGAACGAGCAGAGCTCTTTGCCAGTGCAATTCTGGGCTGCCTGGCGATCGGAATTCACAGCGCAAAGGGGACGAATCGATAGGTAAGCAATGATTCCTCGCCGCAGCTGCCGCGCTGCCTTTCCGAGGCGTAAGAAAGCAGCCGTACACCAGCGGCCAGACTTGGAGCTCCTTCTGCTGGTCCGTGCGTCGTTCTGCACTGAGGCAGAGGATGCAGGCTGCGGCTGCGGGGCTGCATCGCTCGGCAGGGTGGGGGCTGGGGAAATCTGTTCAGAATGGGAAACAGAAAACTCCGGGCTTTGTAATTTGGCTAGACAAAACTGGCACAGAGAGATGCTGTGCTGCCAGCTGAAATCACGTCTTTTTTTAGCACTAGGCAACGTCACTCGGAACCTTGCGGATTTCGCAGCTCAGAAGAAAACAATTAAAAAGACTGAAAACTGCCTCCTTTTTTTGCTTTCTAGTTCATTTTTTCAAAGTATCTCTTCTGTTTAAGGTTACAACAGGGCTTCAGCAGCACTCGAAGGTTTCGGAGCATGCTAGAACTGACAGGCAATCCGCGCGGAGGCGTGCAGGCAGACAGGACAGCTACACGACACCGCACCTCGCCAGAGCGAACGCGGAACACACACAGCACACGCTCAGGCCCATAACCATGGCAACTCGCCTTGCAAGCTGGTCATTCCCTCCGCAGCCTTTACGATTGTAGCTCACACTTTGATCAGGAGCTATTTCATCGGCTTTTCCGCTGCCGAGCTGTTCGCTAGCCAGAGGTGAGCGGGATCAGTGAGATCCCACCGCCCGCTCTCGCTGCGGGCAGGGGGGACGCAGGGCTGCGCCTGGGAACCTCGCGTCTACCTGGGATCTCCAGCCTGCGTCCTTCAGGAGCCATGCTCAGAAATCCCATAAATGCCATTTCCTCCTAAACATTGTGACCCATACACAACGTGGCATAGCCAGGAACACACCCGAAGAAAACTAACTGCTGTATCGTTAATTATCCCTGCAACAGCGACACGTTTCAGTTAAAGAAAGAAGAAGCAGCAATGGCTGAACGGGTACAGCCCTTTGCCTTTCTTCAGCACGTTTCAACAGAGGATCTCAAAGTACTTCACTATTTACTTGGTTGCTGTGACGTTTCGAGTTAGCACCTACTCTGTGCCTGCTATCCCTTCAGTCCCTGCCTGCAGAGCTGGGTTTTACAGCCAGAGGTGGGGATGGCACCTGCGAACAGCAAGCACCTGCCTCCGAAGGCAGTCCTGAGCAGCCGGGGACTTCACCAGGCTACGCTGCCACGCTAAGCTACCCGACTCCAGCTTGGCCATGCTCGCCCAGCTCCAGAGGAATCCAAGCGAGGCCTCAGCCACGGCTCTTCACACAGCCAGGGATCTCACCCAGCGCCTGGCAGAGGGAGATCTCACC